CTGGGTTCGCGCGCACTGCTTCCGCCGCCCGCTGGCCGCGAGCTTCGCTTACACCTGGAAGTGGCTCAACGACCCGCGCTGTGGAGGCCGCTTCAGCGTGAGCGTGATCGAGGACTTGCTGATGTGCCTAGCCCTGTCGGGGCTCTGCGTGGCCGACATGAGGCTCGATGTCGATCACCTGGTGACGGCGTCGGACGCGTCGGAGGCCGCTGGAGCCGTGGTGTACAGCACGGCGCTTACCGAGCGCGGCCGCGTCGTTGCGGGCAGGCGCCAGCGGCCCGCCAACGCCGCCTGCGAGGAGGAGACCGCCCTGATCACCGTCTTTGATGGTATCGGTGGCGGACGCCGAGCCTTCGAGATACTGGGCCTGGCACCAGCGGTGCACCTGTCGTTCGAGGTGGACCCGCAGGCGGTTCGCGTCGCGCGGCGCGCTTACCCTGGCACGCAGCACCTCCGAGATGTTACATCTGCTGACCCTGCTGCCCTGGCTGGTCTGTTGCGGGCCCGTGGCCGCATCGCACGCGCGGTGGTCATCGGCGGCTTCCCATGCCAGATCTACACGAGCTTGAACGTCGACCGCAAGGGCTCGTCGGACTCGCGCGCCTCGCTTGTCGATCACATGGCGAGGGTCATCCGAGGCCTGCGGGATGCCATGCCCGAGGTGAGCGTTTACTTCCTTGGGGAAAATGCGGCATCAATGGCAGAGTCCGACGTCCTTCACCTCAGCGGGTTGTTCGAGCGGATCCCCTTGGAGGTTGAGGCTGGGGACATTGGCTGGGTGGGGCGCCCTCGTCTCGACTGGCCGTCGCGGGACCTGCTGCCGTCGCGCGAGGCCAAGACCGTGATGGTACTGACCAAGGACGGCGCCTCTCGCCGCCAGTGCCGCGCGTCGCTGGAGGTGGAGCGCTCGCCGCTCGAGGAGTGGCTGCCGGCTGGCGCGCGCTGCCCTGGAGCGGAGGGTGGCGAGTCCCTCCCTACGTTCGTTCGCTGGACGCCGCGCTCGAAGCCGCGCCCCAGGCCCGCGGGCATCGGGAAGTGCACGGCTGCTGAGCTGACGCGCTGGGAGGAGGCGGCCTTTGCGGCGCCGCCGTACCAGTTCCGTGACAGGTGGTGCATTCACTGGCCTGACGGACGGATCGCGCCTCCTGACGCGGTGATGAGGGAGAAGCTGATGGGCTTCGCCGAAGGCCACACCGCGCCCTGCAGGACCAGCAGTGCGCCGAAGGCCGAGCCCAGCAAGTACGAGGGGCTGAGGCGTTCGCTGATCGGCAACTCGTTCCAGTGCGAGGTGGTGGCGTGGCTGCTGGCGCACTGGGCTGTTGCGGCTGGGCTGCTGGTGGCGGTGCCGTCCTTCTCCGAGCTGCACGAGAGCGCTCGGGCCTGGGCTGGCGGGCGGAAGCTCTGTGGGCTGGCGACGTCACCTCGCTGCGACGCAGCCGCGCGGAGGTCGACGCGGAGGTCCGCGACGAGCTGGTGGCCCGCAGCGCAGCCGCACCGGCCGAGCGGCAGCCGGCGGGCGAGGAACCCGCCGCAGCGGCGCCGGCGGCGGCCAACAGGCTCGTCTACGTCGGCCGCGGCTCACGGCGCTGGGGCCTCGCCCCGTCGTGTTTCGGCAACCCGTTCGCAGTGGGCCCGAGCTGCTCTCGCGAGGACGCGGTGGCGCTGTTTGCTGGATGGCTGCGCAAGCAGCCCGAGCTGCTTCGCCGCCTGGAGGACCTGCGCGGTGCCAAGCTGGTCTGCCACTGCAGTCAGTCTGAAGCATGTCATGCAGATGTGCTGCTTGCAGAGCTGGCCAAACGCGATGCTACGTCCTGGCGTGATGCGGATGTCTCGCGTAGGCTGGTGATGGGCCCTGTGATGGCTTGCCGCAGCAATGGTGCGGACCTTCGGCAAAGTTTTCCCTCGGCAAGAGATTGATGCAGGTCTTTGGCAATGGCGTAAGGCACGACAGCTGGTGTGGGATGTTCCTGGACATATCAATGTACTGGAGTGCCCGGGCGCGCTGATGATGATTCGATGGCGTGCTCGATCGTTGGGCCGACAGCAGCGAGTCTTCTTGCACCTCCTCGACAGCATGGTCAACATCGGTGCGCTCTCAAAGCGCCGCTCAAGCAGCAGTCAGCTCAACAAGGTTGTGCGCAGCTTCTCGGCCTGGGAGCTTGCGATGGGCGCGCGGGCAGCATCCGGGTTCACCTCATCTGCTCGGAACCCCGCGGACGCGCCGCCGCGCCTGAAGGAAGGGGAAGCGGTCTAGCCCCGCCGACAGGCGCACGGCCAGAGCTGGCCTGGGGAAGCTGCAAGATGCCCAGATCGGCGCTGCCGCTCTTGCTAGATTCCGTCGAGCAGCCAGCAGTTTGTCGGCCATCTTGACGCCATGAATCTGCCGTTGCCGTTCAATGGGAAGACACGGGTGTCACATTGCAAGTTTACCTTGCCGTGGGCCAAGGGTGCCACCAGGAGCCAAGCTAACGTTACACTGAGTTTGGTGCAGCACCTGTTGAGGACGCGCCAGCAGTACTGTGGCGCGCATGATTTTAGCTCTAGCCTTGCGGCAGAGCATAATGTCGTTGCCATAGACAAGGACAGCCTGCCAAAAAGGGAGCACGAGAGACGATGACACTAGGTGACCCGCTTAAGGGAGCGGTCATCCGTATGCAGCTGCAGCGTGACGGGCGTTCATGGCCCTCGTCTCCTCGTGCCTTTCATTTGCTTGTTCGCACTGGCCTGCGAGATTCGGGCGCGCGCATCTCGGCCTAGTCCGTATATGCGCAGAGGCGGTGCTACGCATGAATACTTGCTGACAGGCGACTTGCCTAAAGTGTGCTCCGAGGTCATTGGGGCCCATAAAGACAGCAAGATTTACATTCAGGTGGGGCCGCGATTTTTGGCCGACATGCATTTTCTGCCGCCACCCGTTCTTCGCTCCAGTCCTTCTCAGGACCTTGATTGCCCGCGCTCGGGCATACTGTTGCAAGCGACTTCGAATCCAGGCCAGGTGCGACTCTGAAGAATGTTGTTGGCGGCCCTCGGCCATATTTCGGAACACATTGGAGAGCTTTTGGGTGTTCTTGGAGTGGAGAGCTTCTTCTTCTCGGGCTTCCGGGCACAGCGTGGTGCGAGTCTGCTCCCCCTCGAGGCCCCCTTGGGACGGCGTTCTGACCCCGGTCGTTGCACGACGGTGGTACACGCGAGGTGCGAATTCTGCCGTGGCCTCGGGGTGAGCCCTGTGGTTCGCACATGCTGGTGCCGTTGTCTCGAGGCATTCGAAGCTCTGTCAACAGCTTTGGCCAACGAGTAGAGGGAGTAAGAAGGGGCAACGCCCAGTGTGAGTGATCATTGCATGTTGTGGCTCCCCTTGATTCCCTATGAGCTACCGCTCTGACCCCCGCCTGCACACACATGAACACGTTTACGGTCAATGTGTGGGCGGAGGGGTAATGAGCGAACGTTGGCCGCATCAGAATGCATGGCAGCCTTTGTGGCCCGCCCGCAGTCCGCCGTGTGCCATGCCGTCCAGGCTCCTTCTCTGCCCGGCCGCTCTTGCCCGTTCAACGTTTCGCGAGAGCTTCGCTTCTTCTTCTCGGGCTTCTGGGCACAGCGTGGTGCGAGTCTGCTCCCCCTCGAGGCCCCCTTGGGGCGGCGTTCTGACCCCGGTCGTTGCACGACGGTGGTACACGCGAGGTGTGAATTCTGCCGTGGCCTCGGGGTGAGCCCTGTGGCTCGCACATGCTGGTGCCGTTGTCTCGAGGCACTCGAAGCTCTGTCAACGGTTTTGGCCAACGAGTAAAGGAAGTAAGAAGGGGCAACGCCCAGTGTGAGTGATCATTGCATGTTGTGGCTCCCCTTTTATTCCCTATGAGCTACCGCTCTGACCCCCGCCTGCTCACACACACACATATATATATACATACATACATATATATACACATGTGTACGCCTGCGTGTTTGCATGTCTGTTTGTATGTGTGTACGTATGCATGTATGTACGTACGTGCGTATTTATGTATGTGTGGCTATTTATGTATGTATGTACGCATGCGTGCTTGCATGCATGTTTGTATGTGTGCGCGTATGTATGTATGTACGTGTGTATGTATGTGTGCATGTATGTATGCACGTATGCATGTATGCATGTATGCATGTGTGCATGTCTGCATGTCTACATGTCTGCATGTGTGCATGCATGCATGTATGTATGTATGTACGTATGTATGTATGTATGTATACATGCATGCATGCATGTATGTTTGTATGTGTGTATGTTTGTATGTATGTATGTATGTATGTATGTATGTGTGTATGGGTGTATGTATGTATGTGTGCATGTGTGTATGTGTATGTATATGTGTTGGTGCACGTGTGTATGTTTGTATGTAAAAGTGTTTGCATGCATGCATATATGTATGCGTGCATGCATGTGTGCATGCAAGTATACAGTTATACATACATGAGTGTATAAAAGTATGTGTGTATGTGTGTATGCATATGTGCATATATGCATATGTATGGATGTACGCATGTATGTATGTTTGTGTGTATGTATGTATGTATGTATGTGTGAATGTATGTGTGTAAGTGTTTGTATGTATGTGTCTATGTATGCGTGCATGTATGCATGCATATGTCTGGCATGTAAGTGTATGTGTACGTGCATGCTTCGGGAAGGCTTTCTAGAGAGCCAATTTGAATCCTCCTGGGCCGCACTGGGGGTCTCTCTGAGGCCGTCGTGGAGCCGTGTGAGCGCGAGTCAGGGCCATGTGAATCCGTCTTGCGCAACCTCGAAGCCATCATGCGTCGTCTTGGAGCCATCTGGGATCCGGGGCCGTCGCAGAGCCCTCTGGAGCCATCCAGGAGGCATCCTGCGATCTTCGGAGCGCGAGGAGGCCCAGGAACCCAGGTCCCCTTGGGAATCTGGGTCCCCAGTGCCCCAACAGTTGGCCTGGTGGGGATACGCGAGCCCACCATGCCCTCTGGCCCCCCTCCCTGGTGGCCTTCGGGAGGTGCTCTCCGAGAGCGCCGGGACCGCGCCGGAGCTCGCGTGGAGGCGCCTGCGCGCGGCCGTCGGGATCCAGAGGCTGGCGAGGCGCGGCCGCTGTCGTCGCAACCTTCTCCTCCTCCTCGTCCTCGTCCTCCTCTTCCTCCTCCTCCTCCTCATCCTTCTCCTCCTCCTCCTCCTCCTCCTTCTCCCCCTCCTCCTCCCTCCTCCTCCTCCTCCTTCCCCTCCTCCTCCTCCTCCTTCCCCTCCTCCTCCTCCTCCTCCTTCCCCTCCTCCTCCTCCTCCTCCTCCTCCTCCTCCTCCTCCAGCCAGCACAGAGGGGTTCGGCTCCCGAGCCCGTCTTGTGTTGTGGTGTCGTTGTTTCGTGGTCCTCCTGCCCCCGCGGCCGCCCTCGCCTTGCCTTTCCATTCTCTTGCAGCTCGCACGGCTTTTGGAGGGCGCGTCGTGCCGCCGGTGTTTTTGCCCACCACGCTGGGGCGCGACACGCTGTCCGCTTCGCGGTCCCGAGGTGTCAACATCCCGAGGCTTTCCCAGCCTCCCGCCCCGCGGAGGGGCGCGGCACGCTATCCACTTCGCGATCTCCCCAGGTGTCAGCGTCCCGAGCTTTGCCCAGCCTCCCGCCCCTCGGAGCTGAGAGATCTGTTGTCTGCTCTCAGGGCACAGCGTTCCGCCAGGGCCGCCACCGCGACACGTGGAGCAAAAGTTCCGACCGTATTATGAATTCTCTCAGTGCCCCCCTGGACTGCTCGACAGACCTGCGCGCTCGCCGCGTCCACGACAACAAGTGGGGCGTGTCTGTGCGTCTGTGTCTGTGTCTGTGTCTGTGTGTCTGTGTGTCTGTGTCTGTGTCTGTGTCTGTGTCTGTGTCTGTGTGCGTGTGCGTGTGCGTGTGCGTGTGCGTGTGCGTGCGTGTGTGTGTGTGTGTCTCTGTGTCTGTGTGCGTGTGTATGTCTGTGTCTGTGTGTGAATGTGTGTGTGTGTGTCTGTGTCTGTGTCTGTGTCTGTGTCTGTGTCTGTGTGCGTGTGCGTGCGTGTGTGTGTGTGTGTGTGTCTCTGTGTCTGTGTGCGTGTGTATGTCTCTGTGTGTGTGAATGTGTGTGTGGAGTGTGTGTGTGTGTGGAGTGTGTGTGTGTGTGGAGTGTGTGTGTGTGTGTGTGGAGTGTGTGTGTGTGGTGTGTGTGGTGTGTGTGTGTGGTGTGTGTGGTGTGTGTGTGTGTGGAGTGTGTGCGTGCGTGCGTGCGTGCGTGCGTGCGTGCGTGCGTGCGTGCGTGCGTGCGTGCGTGCGTGCGTGCGTGCGTGTGCTTGCGTGTGCGTGTGTGTATGTGTGTTGTGTGTATGTGCGTGTATGTGCGTGTGTGTGTGTGTGTGTGTGCGCGTGTGTGTGTTTTTCTTGTCGGGGACTTCTTGGGGTCCTTCAGGGGCTCCCCTGGAGCCCTCTCCGTGTTTCTGGTGGCCGTGAGCGCAGCTGGAGTGCTCTCTCGTCGGCCACGAGGCTCCGCTTGAATCACAAGCGCGAAAACGCACTCGGATTGCCCACACCGGCGCACGGGCGGGAAATTGCATCCAGGTTGCACTCAGGCGCGAAGTCGCGTGCAGTCGCACGAGAGCGACATCGCACTCAGATTGACCACGTGTGCGCATGAGCGAAATCGTGCGACGGCGCCCAAGCCTCAGATGCATCAAGATCCGGGCTGGAGCAGAGGTCGGACACAGGAGTGCCAGCCTATCCTCGATTTGAGGCTGGTCCCTGATGTTCGCTATGTGGGAGACTGGTCCTGAGGGAAGCGGGTCCCGAGGTTTCTCGCTTCGGGGCCCTCCGCGGGCCCGGGGACTATTAGGAAACGATTCAGGATGAAGGCCTCGTCTTGGGGGGGGGAAGGCCCCAGGGTCCAGGACCCGTTTCCCTCAGGACCCGCTTCCCCCATGCTAAGATGTAGCTCACCTCGTCGTTGTCGCCGTCCTCCTCCTCCTCCTCCTCCTCCTTCCTTCTCCTCCTCCTCCTCCTCCCTCCTCCTCCTCCTCCTCCTCCTCCTCCTCCTCCTCCTCCTCCTTCCTTCTCCTCCTCCTCCTTCCTTCTCCTCCTCCTCCTCCTCTCCCTTGGCGTTGTGCGCGTCTGGTCCGCACGCTGGGTGAGGAAGTGAGCAGTTTTCGAGTGCAGCCTCCCAAGCCGCACCAGCATGGTGGCCCCACTGTCGGTCGCCCCTCTTCCGCCGTGCCGCTGGGCCCCGAGAGGCCACCCAGGGGCGGGGGCCGGCTGGCCAGACGATCCATAGTCGTAGGCCCAGAGGTTGACACCAGCACAAATCTCGGCGGTGTGCTTCCACCGAGGGAAGAAGGTCCCGATCTCGGTGATAGTGGTAATATGCTGGCTTCGAAGGTGACCGAGCTAGTACCACCAACACCGACATCTAGGATCACCTTCCCCCTGTGGGGGCAACCCCCTGTGCTGGTGTTGGTGCCAATTTCCAGGCCCCCAACATAGGGCACGAGTATGCGTGTTGTTC